GCCCCTGGTTTGTGTCCGAAGGCTGGATTTTCGTTCCAGACTGCTTCTCTGTAACTGCCTGATTACTGGAGCCTGAACCTCAATTTCCTCCTTTGTGAAACAGAGATGTGTGCTGAAGGAGTAAATGAATAAGGCAGTGCGTCTGCATCATGCAGTGCTGCACCTGCACACAGTAGGCACTCAATCCATGTCAGCTGAGCAAAGGTGCAGGCCACCATGGTGACAATAAATGCAGCACTGAAGCTCCAGGAAGGCATTGGTTGATCCAGAGTCCCATAGATGCTGATATCATCTGACATCATACCTGCTGTGCTTTCCTCAATACCCAGGATGGTTGGTACCCAATAAGTTCCCTCCACCCTACCCCTTGAACACTGATGGCACAGGTGACCTGGGCATGTGGATGCCACTGAATCACCTTGGTACCATGAATGTCATACATGGAGGCTACTCATCCCCCGGGACTTCTGGTAGACCATCCTGCGTAGGGCAGGTGGTTCTAGGAGCCTCCTTGGCCACTGTTGCCCTTCTTACCATGCAGTGGCTGTGAGTACATCCAAAATAGGCTGGTTGAGCAAACGAGGCATGGTAGGCGCTCTGGGTTCAGGAAGTTCAGGCAGGAGTGGGGTACATCTCCTCCCTTCAGGAGCACCGCGTGGGTGCTTCTAGAACATGGTTCAATCCATCTAGCTGGGAATGTGGTTTCCCCCAGCTCAGAGGGTGTGCCTGTGCATGTTGGAGGAGGAAGCAAACCTCCCCCGTATACAACACACATGCCTGTCTCATGCCCTGGTCACTCGTTTTCCTTCTCACATGATAAGTTATTTTTTCAGATTTATTTATATGCATACAAGAGCTGGGGGACAGGCCAGAAATGCAGGGGTATAAGAGGATTCACCAGAGACAGAGTGGGGAGCAGAACAGGCAGACTGACAGAAATACACTGCTGAGGGGAGCAGCGGGCGAGACAGGAGAGGTCTGCTGCGCCATGTGGGTAGCTCCCTGGCCGGGGATGGAACTTGTGCAGCAGAGGCTGTGGACTGCTTCACAGTGCAGTGCTTAACCCCTTGTGCCACCAGGGAGGCCCTCACATGATGAGTTTAAACTTCTTTGAAGCCTCATCTATAAAAGACCCCTTTCTCCACACACACGATGCTTGGCCACACTAATCCTCCCTCATCCTTCCTCTTCCTCATTGAACCAGAACCTGTCAGCCCATTAAAAGCACTACACAGGGGCCTCCCTGGTGGCATGGTGGTTAAGCACTGGGCTGCAAAGCTGCATGCAGCCTCTGCAGTGCAGTGTGGTTTGCTCCCCAGCCTCAGGGAAGGTCCCGCATGGTGCTCAGACCTCTCCTGCCGCCCGCTGCTCCCCTCAGCAGTGGATTTCGTCAGTCTGCCTGTTCTGCTCCCCGCTCTGGCTCTAGTGAATTCTCTCACCCTCCCGCGCTTCTGACTGTACCCAGTGCTTGTATAAATAAATAAATAAATAAATCTTTAAAAAAAAAAAAAAGCACTGCACAGAACAAGCGCCCCTCCCCCCACAGCCCTGTTTTTACAAATTGCAGAGATTTATTCTCTAAACAGAAGGATAGAGGACGTGCCGGCCTTCTTTTTCAGCGTGGCTGAGAAAGGAAACAGGCAAACATTTTAGGGGTGGCTGAGATCACCTTGTAGTCATGACTATAGGTTAGGTTTGCTTCTGGAGGCAACAGTTTGGGTCCAGGCACATTTGGGTTCCCTGAGGACCAAGTCACGGGGACTCCGTCTCTGACACTCCTGCAACAGAAGGGCCCCTCCTCCACAGCGCCTGCCCGGCCTCCAGAGCACCCCACGCCACCTCCCCCAGGCGGTGTCTGAGGACAGCACGCCCAGCTGGAGTCTTCAGGGAGCCTTGCGTCATGGGGTAACAGCCGTGCATAATACGTTGTCTTGTCCTCACTCCCAACGCTGCTCTCCATGCGCAGCAGCTCTGCAATCCTCCTACCGTCCCCTGAGGTAGTTACTGTTATCTCCATTTTACACTCGAGGATACTGAAGCTCAGAAGAGTGAGATCACTCTCCCACTCTCCAAGATGGTGCAGGCAGGAGTGAGATAGAACCGCAGCCTTGGCCCATGTGCCACCTGTACGTCTTGACCTGACGCTGAGTGAGCATCTTCTCTGGAGAGGCAGCAGGTGGAGGGACAGGGAGCCAGGACTGACCTCCCTGAGTGAGCTTGAGAGTGCCAAACTGTTTTCTCAACCGTCAGATGAGGCTGCAGACGCCTCACTGGAGGGCCCTTGGGAGGAAAGGGCAGAGGAGCCTGGTGAGCACACGTTTGCTCTCCACGCCTCTCCAGCCATAAGACCCTTGAGCTGTAAATATCAGAGCAAAAAGTCTGGGTTTAAGAGTGGATTTAGTGATCACCTTCTATGCATAACATGTGAGGAGACAGGAGGAAAGCAAGGAGGACTTAGCTCGGCGGTAACGACACCTGCCATGCACAGCGTCACCACACAGACCCATGCAGGCCCCATGCTGGGTGGTGGCAGAGCGCCAGTCTCACCAGGGAAGTTGCCCTTAACTAATTCCAGTTCACAGTGACATGTTTTTGTGGAGTTCTGCACTGGGTGCTCTCAGCACACAGAGAAGCAATGGGCCAGCTCCACCTGGCAGGGCCAGCAAAGGTCTCACAGAGCAAGTGTCTTCTAAGCTGAATCTTGAAAGACAAATGGAAGGTGCCCAGGTAGAGGAGAGTGGGGCAGGGGAGGGAGGGCATGATGGAGGGAAAAGCACATGCAGTCGTGGAGATGTGGAGGCAAAGGTGGGTTTGGCAAGTGGAGAGATCTTTGGTGCAAGTACAGAGGCCGTGGGGCGGTGGGGGTAGGGAGAGGGAACGAGTCGGCAGGGGGAGTGATCGTAGCAAGGACATGGGCTTAATCCTGTGCGTCGGAAGGCGTGACATGGCTCGTAGGACCTTAGATGGAATGAGAATTCCCGTCTCCTGACTTAAGTTAGTTATACTGTTTGCATAGTAGGAATCTTCGGGTCGGCAGGGCATCAAACTAGACTCGCACAGCTGAAGAGTATACTGCTTCCATCCTTTTTAACATTTTAAAGAGGGCGGAGTTTGTCTAATAGATCATTGGATCTCAACTGATTCCCCACATGGCACACTTGGAGTTTCGTGAGGTCACACGACAAAGGGTAAGGCTATGGGAAGGGGTGAAGAGTTAAAGCAGTTCATGCAGGGGCCTCCCCTGGTGGCGCAGGCAGTTGAGTGCAGCACTGTGAAGCTGTCTGCAGCCTCTGCAGTGCAGGTTCAATCCGGGCCAGCCAGCGAGAAGCCCACATGGTGCCGCAGACCTCTCCTGTCTCACCCGCTGCTCCCCTCAGCAGTGTATTTCGTCAGTCTGCTTGTTCTGTTCCCCACTGTGTCTCTGGTGAATCCTCTCACCCTCCCGTGCATCTGGCCTGTTTCCCAATTCTTGTATGCATGAATAGATAAATCTATAAAAAAAACAATTTATGCAGCCCTTAATGCCATAGGGCACATCTGAGAGAGAATGCCATAGCTTCATCTATGGTATAATCAATGGGTTCAGCTCATACAGGATATAATAGAAGTGAGTTAACATATTTTCTTAGTGATTATAATACTGATTAGAGATGTAAAAGACTACATTGTGTGTGTGAGTGTGTGTATATATGTATATGTATACACCTTTTTTCTTAGAAGAATGCATTTTACTCAGTCAGGTTAATAATGCCAGCCACGTGAACTTCAGTGTGTATTCAACTATACAGCATCCTGTCACAGACCAGACAAGGTGGTTCTCGAAGAGGAATTAGAGCCAGTCATGTGACCTCTGACAAATCACTATATATTTTTTTAATAATAAATTTTATTTTTATATTCCCCATACAATTGCAACCCCCTTATTTTGACCCCAATCCCTCCCCTCCCGCCCCCTACCCCCCATAGAGTGTCTCTGGTTCATAGTTTTTTGACAAATCACTATATATTTTTTAAAAGCTTTATAGAAATAGACTTTACATAAACAGACCCACCTTCAGTGTGCATGTGTTGAATTATCCCAAAGATGCCCACCCACGTAATCATCATCACGCCCACGTAGTGATTGTGATGTAGAACATTCCATCACCTGCAAAGTTTCTTCTGCCTCTTCCCAGTCCATATACCCCACCCCACACATCCTCCGACCTAATTTCTGTCTCTGCCAAAGCTCTTTGGCCTTCTATTGCTATTCTTCATCTGTAAAACAGGCATGAGCACACCTGGCAGGCGCCTGGGCGCTCGTGGATTTTACACGAGATAGCTTTATGCCAGGCAGCTGCGTATCTGCAGCTGCTCGTGTCAAATATTAAGTCCATAGGCCCCTGTTAGCAGGTTCACCGTGGTTTTGCTTGCTGGGGAGCAAAGGAGAGGAGTACAACTCAGTAAAGGACTCTCCAAACAGGTTAATAAAATCAGACTTTCAGACAGTTGAGAAGAAGAGAAGAGAAATAAGAGAGGATGCTGAGACTGTCTTTAAACTCAGATGAAATGGAGGAAATTCTTGGCCTTTGCTTATGAGTTTGCTCTTCCAGGCCCTGGTGCTGCAGAGCCTGAAGTCTGGCGCGGGAGGCAGAGGCATTGCCCACACGGGCGCTGCTGCCTTAGCCTTTCACTGTGCTCCTCGACCGGGTCCCTGTCATTTGATATTGTGTATGAGTTCACCCAGGAGCCACCTTTTCTTTGTTTACAAGGAGTGGGTGGCTGGTTGTAGGGTGTTACGTTCACATTCTCAACCAGGAGGGGCTTGTTTCCCAGCTGGTGAGGGCAGCTGCTCCTCATCATCTTCCGTTTGAAATTAGAGGCAATCGCAGAGGGAGAGGCAGCTGTGATCCCGCGTCCTGGCTTTGACCCATCCCGGCATCCCCTGGGTCGTACACTCTGGAGGGCAGGACACAGGGGCGGCTCCATCTTGTTCCCATGCATCCTCTCCTCCCTTCCAGCTCCAGAAGCAGCTCTCTGAGCTGGATGAAGATGACCTGTGCTATGAGTTCCGGCGAGAGCGGTTCACCGTCCACCGAACGCACCTGTACTTCCTGCACTACGAGTACGAGCCGGCTTCCGACAGCACGGACGTCACCCTGGTGGCGCAGCTCTCCATGGACAGGTATGGAGGCGCCCCACCCTCACCCCCTGTGCCGCTGCCCACAGACCCTCAGGTGGAGAGCAGAGGTGGCCTCGGGCCCAGCTCACTGCACCCTGGTCGGGCATGTGTCACCTCCCCTTCTGGCTCTGAAAACCAAGCGCCTCATCTGTTGGTGGAGGTGGTGGTAGTCTTGAGGATGGAGGAGAGGGCTGATTCTCAGACGTAAGTTCAATGCAAAGCCTCTCAGGAGAAAGGAGGTGCATTATTGGGGAACACGACTAGACCCACAGCTGCCACTGGTAAGCAGTTGCTGTTTCATTTCCTTACATGTGAGTGGGTGCAACAAATGTCAGCCAGGCTTCACCAGGCGGTACTGGCATGACCCCAGCCCTTAGCGCCATACAGTTTGGGTTCTCAGCCTTGACTGGCGACAATTTGAGTCACTGGAGGGGCTTTTAAAACAGAGTCATGACCAGGCTCCACGGCAGCCAGAGTGGTAAGCACCTTGGTGGAAAGACTTGCACTGTTTCAAGTTTGCAAAATGCAGCCAGGTTGAGAACAGGGGACAAGTGGTATAAAAAGCAATAAACAAATCATTAAAAGGATTATAGTGATGTGAGTGCTTCGGAGAAACTGGGATAGATCATAAAGTGTGAAGTGAGGGCCCTTTGGTGCTGTGGTTGGGGGATGTCTATCTAAGGAGGGGATGTTGCTATAGAGACCTGAAGGGTAAGGAGGCTGGTGTACCAGTTGTGAAGAAAAGAGTTTTCCAGGATGCTGAGATAGCAGGTGCAAAGGCCCTGTGGTCGGGAGGGCCTTGCATATCATATTCTACACTGATAGAAGACCACTGTAGCTAACATATAGTAGGGGACTAAGAGGAAAGTGACATGAAACTAAGATTATAGAACATTAGAAACGTCAAATATTTGGACTTTAGGTGTTTTAAGAAGTTATTGAAGGGATTAAAGTTACGTGATTTAAGTGGCTACCTGGAGGTAAATGGATTCAAAGCCCTGAGGTCACTTAGTCATGCAGTTTTCTATGCCTGACTATCCCATGCGCCCCCTCCCACCTCAGCTGACAGCTTCCTCTTCTGTGGACACATGGCCATGGTGGTGGTCCCAGCCCCAGTATCCCTCGTGGCAACCACCCTCCCCAAACATAGGGAAGGATTTCAGTTCCCCAGGCTGTGTGTGAGCCTCCTCAGAGATGCCTGTCCAGAGCCTGTGGGTGGGGTTTCACAGGATTGTGTTCAGAGTGAAATGAGTTAATGCCTGTAAAGTGCTGAGAACAGTACCTGGCACACTTATTAAGTGTTCAATAAATGTCACTTGTCATTAGTCATGAGTGATTGAAGAACCAGCAAACAAATGAATGAACAAGCACTCGGACGCGAAAAGGTTCACATAAAGCAGAGGGCGTTCCGAGGCTCGAGCAGAACCTTCCAGCCAGCCACCTGGGAATGACTCATGCCGAGTGTGGAAGCAGGTTCTTTGCTCTGAGTCCCACGTGTGTCAGGGAGGGTTATTCAGGCAGTGAACTGGCCTCACTGGCTGGTGGTCTCTTAGAAACCTATGAGCCTCCAGGACCCTGTGCACGGTCACGGAGAACCTCCCCAGCATAGCAACTAACAAACAAAGACAAAGTGGGACAGAAGGGGAAGGAAAAGCAGAGGCTGAAGCATCACCTTCATTCTGGACCTACTGTGTGACCTCAAGAAAGGTCACTTCCTGCTTGTGGCTTGTTTTCCTCTCCAAAATTCGCATGATCACTCAGCAAATATTACGCATATATGACTAATGTGTGCCAGCTCTATGGGGCCAGGAATATTTATAAGAAGACCTTGTCGCTGCCTTCAAGGGGCACAGAGTGTATTCAGGCCTCAGACAGGGCATTCATTTTCTGTTGTATGATAAATCACTTTAGACTTAGCAGCTTGAAAAGCACACTTTCGTGATCCTACAGTTTCTGTGGGTCAGGAGAGCAGATACATCAGTCCGAGGTCACAGGACTGAAACCTCGGTGTCATCTGGGGTCTGATCTCAGGGCGACGTCACGGTCCATGCAAAGTTCATTTAGGTTTGGCAGATTTCACGTCTAAGACTAAGGTCTCCATTTCCTGCAGCCTGGGGGCCAGGGTCCTCCTCTGCTCCTGGGGGCTGCCCTCATGTCACAGCCCCACGACCCTCTGGGGGACAGGAAAAGACCTGTGTCCAAATTCTAGCTGTGCCACTTAGTAAAGCGTGTGGATGTGAGCAAGTCTTTGGGCTATCCCAGATCACTTCTATTTATGACGTGATGATAATGCTGTCAAGTTCACAGATGGTTCTCAGAGTTTTCTAAAATAAGAGGCTGCAAAGTGTGTGCATAAGTATTAGTTTCCCTTCCCTTCATGTTTTTCCTCCATGCTGGCCATGAAATTTGTTGCCTAGAATTTATAAACAATTAGAAAACCTTTTAAATCATGAACCCAATCCAGCCTCCTGTATACACTTGTGATCCACAAGAGAATAGAGGTGGCCACAGAGCCCTCCCTCTACTGCTGGCCAGAGCATCCCCTGGCTGGGCAGTGGATGATTCCTACAGGACCTACCTTCCCTGCCAACTGGCTGGATAGGAACCCCCACGCCTCTCCCATCCACTTCCAGACACCCACAGGCTTGCCCTTCCAAACACACACAGCCCCCAGCGTGGCAGGTGTCCCCCCCAACGCTTTGTGACAAGTGCTGCAGCTGGACAGTGCCTCAGAACCCAAGGAATTCCAAGCCCCCATAAGAGAGGCTTAGCAGGACGTCATCAGAAATAAAGCGAAACCACAAGCTGATGAGGACGGCAGAAATGCCTCCTTCCGCGCCATCCTGCACATCCAATTACCATGCAGCCGGCTGACTGGTGCCTGTTGGATTGATTTTTAATTTAAGCAGCATTTCGGGTGTGTTTGTAAACCCTTGAGTCAGAAGCCGGCCCTATGTGAATGCCACTGTGAATTAGGGAAACCGGTTTGCATGGCCCCTGCACCTTCCTCTAGAGAGCTCCACTCGGGAGTGTCACCAGCCTTTCCCAGCCACTTGGGATCTGTGCTCCCATCCTGGCAGCCACGAGCATGGGTGAAAGGTCAGAGTGGACAGGTCAGGAGATGCGCGCTTTCTAGGCTTGTTCCTTTGGCAAAGTTGGTAAAGTACCAACTCCAGTTCCAGGGTGTCCTGGGGTGGGTGAGTCTCCTCTGTTTTCTGCAAGTGGGGAAAAGAGAACCTGAGCTACCAGGGCCCCATGTGGCTGGCGGCTCACTATCACCCGGCAGCTCCATGAGCTCAAGAGCCTGGGGGTCGGTGGTTAGAGCTGAGCTCAGCAGGATGGTTCTGCTGGACCCCAGTGGAGTCAAAAGTCCAGCCAGAGGAGGAATCTGCGAGAGGCTGGCCTCTCTTCATGGGCAGTGAGACATGCTTCCTCCATCCCCGCCTTCCATGGACTCCTGTAAATCCATCCACATATTAGAAATTGCCCATGTCATTTACCCCCCAAATTTCAAAGAGTTTGCATGACAGCTCCTCTTTGGAGGCACCGAGTCCAGCCCCCACTGCATCTTGCAGATGATGAAACTGAGGTATGGCTGGGATCGTTCAAAATGCCATATTCTCAGAGCCCAGGGGAGACCAGGAGGCCAGACATGCATTTCAGGGGGATTGGCCATTGTGAAAAATGCCTCTTGGAGAAATCAGCTCCAGTCAACTTGATTAGCAGGTGTTAGAAAGTATGGGAAGTGGAGGACACTTTCCCCGTGAATATCTTAATCCTCCATAGTGTCGGAGGAAGAGGATCAGGGCAATACCAATTTGCAGAATTGCCGAGAGGAGCCTCTGAAAGTCAGAGAAAGCCATTGACTCGAGATAGGTGCGCCCATTTTCTTTTGTTTAGAAGCACAGAAATGCATGAAATCTATTTTCCAGTAATTGTCCGAATAAAGTGGGCATTCTGACCAGGAGACTGCTGATTATGTGCCTCTTGCTGGGCAGGGGAAAAAAAATGAAATAGGCTTTCGCTGTTTCTTAACCATAGATTTTATGTACCGGGTACTTCTAATGCCTTTTTGGGGGGAGAAATCGTCATAGATTTCTCTTCAAACATTTCTGCAGAGCCCTCCCCGTGATGGGAGCAGCTTCTGTTATACTCCAGGTCCTGTGCTCCACGCCCCCACCCCACCCCCTGCTCTGCCTGGCTCATTTCGGTGCCTCTCAGGTAACTTGCAAACCTGGCTAAAGTCCTAGGGCCCTGGGTTCTGCGTATTGAAGTTGGCGCCACCCAGCACACTCTGTCCCCATCAGGTACATGTTTTCCATGCCCCATGCCAGCATTTTCTTCGCACTGTCTCCAAGGCTCTGCCCAGGTACCTGTCTACATGTATGGTCTGAGGTCAAGTGTCCAAGCCAACCCTGGAGACATCGGGTGCCTCCATTCCTTCATCAGGAAAATGGAGAGAATGACAGCGGGTGCCCGGGGTGGAGAGTTCTGGAAAGCGCTTGGTATACAGGCCTGCATCTATTACTGCTTATTTTCATGCTCCTTGTAAGCAGCGACTTCTGTTTGACTCAATCTTAGCTCACTAGTCACTGCTTCCGGACCCCAGCGGAGCTCCTTTGCTGAGAGAAAAGGAGAGGTGTAGGGGTTTTGAGCTGGAGGGGGACATTTAGACCATTTAATATAATCTCCCTCACCCACCCCACATGCCCTTGACAAGAGAGGGCATTGCAGCAGCCCATGACTCTGCGTATCACTCATCCACTTGGAAGCCAAGACTAGAACAAGCAAGGAAAGCCTGCTCATGCCCACTTTCCAGAGAAAGTTGCTGAGGTCTGCTGACCTGGCCCCGTCAGTGCTGAGTGCTTGGAGCAGGGCCCTTCATTCAGCTGGTTGACCTTGTGTCCGGGGAGCAGAGTGTCCCACCCAGGAGGCCGGCAGGTCCAGTGGCCGCTCAGACCCATGAGTCTGCCCTCTCTCTTCCAGGCTCCAGATGCTGGAGGCCATCTGCAAGCACTGGGAGGGGCCCATCAGCCTGGCCCTCTACCTGTCAGACGCCGAGGCCCAGCAGTTTCTCCGCTACGCGCAGGGCTCCGAGGTGCTCATGAGCCGCCACAACGTGGCCTACCACATCGTGTACAAGGAGGGCCAGTTCTACCCCGTCAACCTGCTGCGCAACGTGGCCATGAAGCACGTGGGCACGCCCTACATGTTCCTGTCCGACATCGACTTCCTGCCCATGTACGGGCTCTATGAGTACCTCAGGTGAGTGTCTCAGGGGAACCAAGCCCTGCGGCGGTGCCCTCTAGTCCCACACTTTCCTCTTGTCATTTTTAAATATTTTTAATTTAAAATTTGTTCTCTTCTTTTATAAATTTGTTATTGGAGTCTTACTGATGGATCCCGTTATAGAGCTTCCAGGCATCCAGCCTTGCAAATCGACCTGAATGTAAGCATCACAGTCGCCACCCAAAGTCTAGTTTCCAGCCTTCGCCAGACACTTGATTCTGGCTACCCAGTGACCCACCCCTAGTCTAGTCTGAGAGCTTCCGTTTTGTTGTAATGGTCCTTGTTTTAAGTGAAATAATGTTTAGCATACTTCTGTTGGGCATTGATTGATTGATTGATTGCAAATTGGCTATACCCATTTGAATTTAGTTTCTATCAGTTACTGCCACCTGTAACTTTTCATGATCCCACATGTCAGTGTCATGTTTATGTCTTGCTGTTGCCTTCCAATGCTTTTTGTATGTTGTTTCTTTACCACACACAAGTAACTCATCCCGTGTGTTCATCATTCTCCACCTGACTGACCTCAGTAGCACAAAGCCCTCAAAGTCCATCCACAGAGCTGCAAATGGCAAGATTGCATGTTTTTTATACCCGAGTACATTCCACTGTGTATGTGCAGAGGGCAGCTGAGGCCCGGAAAAGAGAGGGACCTGGCCGAGTCCACCCAGAGGCCAGCTCCTGCCGGCACTTCGGAAGGGTTCTGGACAATGCAGCATCTTGCCCTGCTGAGCAGGCTGAAACTGGTCCTTCATGAAACATTGTTGGCAAAGGCAGGTCGAGGAAACTTCTCTGGTCTCCAAGCCTGGTGCTCTTTCTGTAGCTCATATGGAGATATGTGTCATTCCTCTTGGATTTGGAAACAGACAACCTGCATCTAACCATTCTAGAAACATCACTTCCTGTTCTGCAAAACAGTTGGAAGGGATGGTGTTGGCCGGCATTTATGAAAGAGCTTGCTGAGCACCAGCCACTGTTCTGAGGGCAAGACAAACAAGACTTCAGGCCCCAGCCACCCCACACCTGCCTTGTGCTATTCTTACCTTCCTTTTCCAAGTGGGAGGCTGCAGGGAAGAGCCGGTCAGCCGTCCCCGAGATCACGGGGCCTCTGAAGTGGAGCTGGCCCTGTCACAGCCATTTCCCTCCCGAGACACGAGCTTAAGGTCCCTTCATGGCGCTGCCTCTGTGAGCTCTGGGGCCTCTTCCCAGCGCTGCTGGCATGAGGGGCCTCCTGGAGGCTGATGGCTGGGTGGGGAAGGCGTTTGTGGTGGAACAAGGGACAGTCGGAACTGAAGGGGACTGCCAGTAGCCCGAAGAGTGGAAAGGATCAGACAGTGGTTTTGAAGACCTCTGTTACTGTGCTTTGGTGGCGTGAATCACCTTGGCTCCCTAGTGAGTGCTTGGCGGGAACCAGGCTCCCTGAGACATGGTTTGCACCTATCACCCCTCCTGGATCCACTCGCCAATCCAGAAATCGGGACTGGTTACCCCTCTGTACAATGAAAACAGTGAAGCTCAGCAGAGCAAAGTAAGGTGCCCCTGGGCGCCCGGGGAGCTGCAGGATTGAACCAACACCTGGGACACTCCAGCCCCACAGGTAGCCCTGCTTCCTCGGGGCCCGGTGAGGTTGCTCCAGAGCTTCTGACTGCTCCAGGGGTGATTCCTTTCACTCCAGCGCGCTTGCCTGCGTGTTGCACACGCATGCGTGCATGTGCGTGTAAGGCAGGCATGTTCTGTCCATGCTCTGAATGGGATCTTCTGCGTTATCTAGGAGCTACTCAGCATCTCCCTGGTGAGCCTCTGTTAAGAACGCACAGGAGCATGAGCTCTGGTTCAGAGCACAGTGAACCCCAAATCCTAACCCCGGGAATGGATCTGTCCTTTTAGGGCGCCAGCTGGGCCTTGAAATCCCAGTGTGTGGAGCAAGGGCGCCCCCGTGTGGTCAGACAGGATGCTCAGCCCTGATTCCCTTGGAATCTGATGCCCTGACATCTTGCTGGGTAACAGGCTCCGAGTGTCAGGGAAAGATCCCAAAGGAAGAGAAGGGAGGGGGGCGGAGCGCTGCCCTCCACCAAGGAGAGACCCGGGGCGTGGACCACAGCCCCACCCCCACCCTTCCAGGGCCCTTCCTTCCAGTTCTGTGAAGGTGAGATGTCTTAAAGGTCTGCAGTCTCTACTTCCCTGACACAGACTATTTTATTATATTGTCTCATGAGCATCATGTTTTGAAACATATTACCTGTAAACAGACTGCATTTTTGCACCTTACTATAGTTTGTTGATCTAAGACATTGTTAAGCATCCGCTTTCCCCGGTGGGGGGTTACTGGTGCTGCCCAGTAATTCACACTTCGCTAAAGCAGAGCTCCCTGGGGTTTGAGTTGGGCAGCCACCTTCCCATGGGACAGAGGGAGCCTCCCCTATACCCCTCAGGGGGGCTGACAGTTGCAAATTGCTCTTAAAACTCCATCACTTTCTTCACAAACCCTGTAGACACCCAGGGACTCTGAGCTGAGAGGAAATGACCTTATTCAGCCCTCTTTCAGTTAACGCATGGGAACAAGGCCAGAGACAGAGTGACTGGCCCACGTGGAGTGTGATTCCAGATTTTCCTTCCCTCCACCCTCAGAACCCATTCTTCTTTCTGTTCATTTAGTGGGTAAACATCTACAAGACACCTGTGTGTACCCCATACCCATGAGCCACACAGTGGGATGTGGAGACCCCAGAGCTTATAACAACAGTTGTAACAACAGTTAAGGACACACATGCAATAGAAAGTTCTTCAGATACACTGATGGGGTGACCTGGTAGTATTGACCCATCTGAAGGTAGTGGAGAGCTTAGGAACACTTGCAGGGTCCTGGATTGGAAATAGCCAGACCCGGTGGTGATGTCCCTGGTGAAGGGAGTTAGCATCCAGGGAGGCAGGGGGAACAGAATCTTGATGGGCAGGACAGCAAAAGATGATGTGCCCGACTATAAGCCTGGTTGGTTCCTTCAGATCTTCTCATAAAACTTGCTAAGAGGGTTGGATTTTAGGAGGTGGGCAGGCAATGGAAATCACTGAAAAATTGACATAATTGTTTGCATTTAGGAAAGAGCATTCTGGTCGCATCATGGTGGGATCGCAGTCAGTAGGACCAGAGGGAGGGAGATGAGTTACAGGCCAGTTGCGTTCCTCCAGGTGATGGATGATAGAGGATCAGAAGAAGCAGTGGAGACAGGCAGATGGCCCAGAGAGAGACTCTGCAGTTGAAATCAGTGACAGTCTGGCAAGGTGTCTGGACTTTGAAAGGGAAGACAAGGGACCTCTTTCAAATGCTGCACCTGAAGCCCTTAGCAAAGCTGGACCTGGGAGCCCTTCTGCTTTGGTCTGGTTCTCATGCTGACCCCGCTGTGGTCCAGCTGGAATGAGCAGGATACCATGGCTGACTTTGAGTGTAGTGGGGGTTGGGATTAAGGGACCTGGGAGTCCTTGATCCAGCTCACACCCTGTGCCTTAGCCAACATCACAATGTCCAGCAACTCTGTGGCTTACAGCGTGTTCCATCGTGGTGGAAGTGGACTTACAATAGCAGTCACACACTTTAGACCAAGACTTTGGCCTAATGGAGCCAGAAGTGCTGAGTGTGATTCATGGGGGGAGCCCAATCCCCATCTCAGGCAGCTGGCACCTCTCCACTCCAATTGTGGAATTACTGCTCAGGGACAGGGCTGAGATCTGCCTATTTTTCAAAAGGCGCTAGAAATACAGATTTTCGTGTTTCAATTTTTACTGTCGACCAATTTTTTTAAAAATGTGCATCCAGACCAAACATGTCTTCAAGTTGGATAGACCCTTCCCACCCCACCGTAGAGCACCAGTGCGTGACCTCTGACCTCAGCAAATCCTTGACACCAGAATTTTGAGAACTGGTCAGGGATGTGATTGAGAAGCCCCGAAAAAGCATGCCCCGATCTTTTCCTATGAAGAGAAGCACATCAGCTCACCACCAGCTTAAGGAAAGTCTTCCCCAGTGACTGGGGTGAATTTGTTTCTGGCCCAATTTCATGCCCAGTGCTACGTGATTGGTTAGGACGAGACCAAAGGTACTGTCTGCCATGGTCCCTGTGGACTCCCAAGAAAGCCAGCAGGCTCCCTACGGCCTAACTACTTCTGCATGGACATCCAACCAAATGCTCCTCCCAAGCTGTTAAATACTAATATGAAAATTGATGTTAGTTTATGGAGTCTTTATCCTGTGCCCACAGCCCTGCCAGAGGTAGCCATCACCTCTGTTTGCCACACTTCCCTCCCAGGTATTGTTGCGGCTGATCACTCTGAGACCCAGGGAGGTTAAATGTCAGTGTCAGAGGAGGCACATGGTCCACCCGCTTAACAGCCCGCTCCCTTGTGGCTGGGGCCACGTCACCAGAGCAGGCTGATTGGCAGCCCTTTGGTCGGTCCCCCAAACACTCACATCACCCTTTTTGGGGGTCCTACTCAGTTAGCAAAAAAAAGTTCAGCATCATAGCACCCTGAACAGTTGCTTAGCAACCAGCTAATATTACAGCCAAAACAAACAGATTGCAAATAATTAAAGCAGTTAGTTATATGCATGGACATGGCTGCAAAGTGTCACTTCCTTAAGATCTCTCTCCCACCCCTTCACCTCTTTCTTCTAAAGAAGGCATTTGTGGATGTGCAGCCTTCACTCTTGATTTCAGGAAAGACAAGGGAAACTCAGCGTGGCTTGGCAGAGGGCATGGAGCCCTGCCTCTCACTCCTGGTCCTGTTCTACTCACCAGATGTGTGGCTTAGGGCAGCTTACTTGCCCTCCCACTTACCGTCCCGACCTCTGTTTCTTCCATGTATGGAAGGACTGATAACAGCCTCTTATATGCATATGGCACAAGCACAATACTGATTGTCCTGTCCTTTGGCCCATTAAGTCTTGAGCTTCTCTGCCAGGCCCCACCCCAACCCCAATCATT